TCTTCTTCTTCTTCTTCTTCTTCTTCTTCTTCTTCTTCTTCTTCTTCTTCTTCCATAAATCCTAAACAACACCAGCAACACAAATATTAACAACAACAACAACAACAACAACAACAACAACAACAACAACAACAACAACAACAACAACAGTTCCCCCCCTCCCCCACCCCACACACCCAAAAGCAAAAACGTAATGCTTAATGCAAGATATACTTGTATAATCGATGAAAATGACAAACAGAAATTAAAAACTTAAAAAAAGAACTTCTTTTCATGTCTATAAGTACATGTACTTTATTATCTTTTATATCTTTGCGTATCTGCGGTGGGAGTGTAAAACAAAAGGCTCTTGTAGTAATGAGTTGACAAAATGGACGGACAACTTTCATCAACAATACATATAACAAGGTGGAAACACAATGATTTTTTTTTCATTTAGCAAACAGCATTTAACAAAGCAGTAAAAACAATACTACAGCAGGCTCGTGTTATCAACCGCAGTATTTATTTTATATAAGAATAATAATTAGTGTTCCTGATGTTTATGTTCATACAGTGACCAATGCCAAATGATTTACTCATCAAACAATAATAACAACGAAAACATCAAAAACTTAAAAAAACAAAACATCAAAGACAAAACAACAACAAAAAATAGTGAGTCTGAACAGAGGAGTTGGAGGGGGAGGGGCGGGGGCGGCACACTAACAGTACCTTGTCACTTTGCATGGTGTAAACAGTGTTCAATTACGTAATTAATTAAAATTCCAAGATTCTTCCATTTAAAAACAAACAATAAAAACAAAGGAATAAACGAATAGCTATAATGATGCTGTCAATTTAACAGCAAAATCCCTCTCATTCACAAGCAGAAAAATATTGTTCTAGCATAGAAAATATCTTTTTAAAAATCCTATTACATCCTAACATCTACGCAGACCAAACGTTTATTGTCCACACACCCAGCATTACTCATACTTGGCATACAATGATGATTATTTTTTTCCCTCTGAGCATTCATCTCAACGCACCTCTTCCTGCTAACATTATAATGTCCTATTCGACCAAATTCTAATGTTTCTGAAGACGTAACCGTAGAGGTTTGATGTCCCCATCGGTACAACAATTGTAACATCTAGGAGGTGG